GGAAATAATTAAAAAAGGTAAGTTATAAAATTGCAAAGTGTGAGTTTTTAATAAAAATGGAATCAACGAATTATATGCTAAGTTTTTATTCACAAATGTCCAAAATGGATTCAACGAATTATATGCTAAGTTTTTATAAAATTGCAAAGCGTGAATTTAATATAGCTATTATTTTTATAATAATTAACGTGAGTAATATAAAATGATAAGCGTGAAGTTAACCAATTGGAAATAATTACAAAGGTAAGTTATACAATTATACACCCAATTTCGGAAAAAAAATTGGAAATAATTAAAAAAAGGAAGTTATACAATTATACACCCAATTCTGAAAAAAGATAATTGGAAATAATTAAAAAAAGGTAAGTTATAATAATTAACTGTCATTTTTAACCTTTTTTTCTGTAAGTGTGAAGTTAATATAGCTATTATTTTTATAATATTTAACGTGAGTAATATAATTACAAATGGCAATTGTAAAGTTAAAATGGTAAATGGCCGAAATTATAGTAATAATTATTATAATTATTATATTTATAATAATTAAAGAAAGGTAAGTTAAAATGGTCGAAACGTAATTTAATAATTGTGAAAATTGGAAATAATTAAAAAAGGTAAGTTATAAAATTGCAATGCGTAAGATTTTAATAAAAATGGAATCAACGTATTAAATGCTAAGAATAAGTAACTGTCATTTTTAACCTTTTTGTGTAAGTGTGAAGTTAATATAGCAATTATTTTTATAATAATTAACGTGAGTAATATAAAATGATAAGCATGGCGTTAATATAATTATTATATTTATAATAATTAACATATTGAAAATTGGAAATGATTTAAAAAGGCAAGTTATAAAATTGCAAAGTGTAAGTTTTTAATAAAAATGGAACCAAAGAATTATAGCCTATTACAATTATATATATACTACAAATACAGTATTTTTCCAGGCCAAGGTAGTAAGATTAATCAACGTGTGTTTAAATTTGGTGCTTCAACATTGCTTTTTGTACGAACATGGGGATTATAACCGCTTTAAAAATGTTGATGAGAGGTCAGGACTATTGATGTTGAAACTAAGAGAGGTAAGAATTTATCACGTTCCTGCTCATTCTCGGGGGCTGGAATCATTGGATGTTATATTTACTAAATTTACAGAAACAATAAACAATACTAGATAAATGGTAAAAATCATTCACACATGTTATTACTTTAGAAAAATAATATGTATTGATATGTAATAAATTATTACATTAAAAACATTATGAATTTGTATGAGCATTAAAAACGTTTTTATTTTTATTTAAATACATTAATATGTTTTATTTTTAATAACACCAAAAACAATAATTCAAAAAGGTGAATGTGTTTCTGTTTTTATTTAAATGCTTCGCTAGTTAATGGTAAGTGTTGCTATGGTAATTTTGGATTCTATTAATTAATAATTATATGGTAAAGGGGAATATGTTTCTATTTTTATTAAAAAATTACTGTTTTTGTATGATCATTAAAAAAGTTTCCATATTTATTTAAAACTTATTACCATTTTTTAAGTTTAAAATTTCCATTTATTTAAAACTTTATTTAAAATAGTTATTACCATTTTTTTCCAAGTTTAAAATTAAAACTTATTACCATTTTGATATAAGTGTAAACATAATAACGTACACTTGGATTTTTTATTTTATTCCAAAGGTAATGAAATATATTTGGAATAAAATTTCCAAAACATTAACTATTTTTGATAATATGAAAAGAAATGAATAAAATAACAAAAAATGGAAGTTCTCTATGAATTTTACTTTTATCGTTAAATGAAAAAAATAATTATCCGAATAAAAGTCTCTTTATTATATATTGAAATGGAATCATAAATTATGAAATGATGTATGAATAATTCTAACTTGAGAATCACGAATGTTTTATTTTTATTTTTTAATTTTTAAGGGAAATTGGATACATTGTGGACAGATAATTTTTATCTGGTGATTGATGGTCTCAACAAAGTGGCATTATCGTCTCAAATTCCGGTGATGCAAATGGTGAAACCTAGCATTAAAAAAATTGGACTCAAACATTTAATTGTCTAACGAGTGTTTTTTATATTTCATAACGAATCTCGGTTACACAAATATTTAAACGTCTAACGAGTGTAAGATAATTGTTTATTTTACTCAATGAAAAAATATTGTTTTCATTGTTAATAAAAAAGGAGTAAAATGCCAACAAAAAACGACATGAAACAAAGACACTGCAAGTATTGCTTTCCGTAAAAACGAATCACTGCAAAAAAATTTAGTTTCTTTTTATAAATGCTCCTTTGTTTTTATAGAGTATATAGATCTCCACTTTATTAGTAATTTGACAAATTGAAGAAAACAACACAATTAACTCTGAACAAATTTTTTTAACCAGAGTTTTGATTAATGTTATTTATATTATAGTCATGGTCAAATGTATGTTATAGTTTCAAGAGTTATAAATCATTATTATTTGAAGATTCTAATATGCAACGAAGACAGTATTTTCACAAAATTATACGAGTAATGTGAATTATAAAGGAGTCTTTCAAATATTGTAAATCATTTAACTTTTGTAACTTAAAAAATGAAATCTCTGTATTCCCTTATATACTAATTTGTAACATTCAAAAATGATATTAATATAATTTAGTAACTTAAATATGACCCGTGCAACGCACGGGTGTGATACTAGTATAATAATAACTAGCTTGCAACGCACTACGTGCGATGGATGCCCAAGGCATGTAACATTTGTTCTACTTTGTTGGTACTAATAAAAACAAATTGAACACCTTACAAGAAGATTTTACACATTGGAATATAATAAGACTTGTTTGCAAAATAGAGGCAAAGAGCAGCTTATACTATCTACTTAATATTTACATCGCATAGTCTACAAATAGAAAGTATCACCATTGAGATAGTTTGTCGCTAGCTTTGTTTCTTTTTCTTCACTTTTTCTGGCATTTGAATCCATTGATTCCCTGTTGTTCGTAGATATGATGAGTTTTCTAAAAGCTTTTTGTGTTGCTCTCATGAGTTTCTGTTGGAGTAATTGGTGGCAAATATAGGCAAAGTAGGGAGTACATCTTCATGCTTAACAATTAGTAATTGGGTGACATCATCTTTTACGACAGTTGCAATAATAAGTGAGGCTAATAGCTTGCTATTTAAACAAAATTTAGAGTAAGAAACTTAAAGCCATAACAGCCATATTCTTATCTTTGCCCAATTATATTATAGCAACTCCAAATTCAATTTTTATGGAGTAAGAAAGTGTAAGGCCCCGAAAATAGGCCTATCAGAATTAATTAATTGATAATTAATTAATTACTAAGAAGGACCCAAAAAAATATGTGAATTATAAAGTTTGTCAATAAATAATAAAAATTATATCGTTATGTAGAGTTTAACTGTCTGATTCTAACGGTTCAATCGGATTGCAATTCGGAGAAAGTTGGACCAAAAAGTGTTTTCCGACTAGGACCAAATTAGTCCTAATCAGGGACTTACGTTTAAAGTCGGAGAAGATAGCAGCCCGCTCCACTCAGCCGCCGACACAGTCAAAGGAGAGGTCATCAACCTGTGTCTTCTTCCTTTTCCTTCTCCTATAAAAGGCTACCATAACTCCCCACATTCTTCACCATTTCTTACAAAATTACATTCTATTCTGTTCATTGTTGAGAGAGGAGTGCAGTGGTGCTGTCATCTTGGTGAAAGGTTGCCGGAATTGGAAGCAATTGTCGCCGGAAGTTTCGCCGGAAAATCTTCAAAACCTTCATTTACCTTCGAGGTATGCCCGTAGATATATCTAGTGACTAGAATGTTTGTATAGATCGTTTCTACGTTCATAAACGGTCGTTTGGTTGAGTTTTGTGTTTGACATGTTTGAGGAACCAAGAATCATAAACCATTGAATTGATGTTAAACTATGAATTAATGATTTCAAAATGATCTATGAACCTTAGAAAACATTTCTATATAATTTAATTGAAGTTTGGTGATTAAAAATGAAAATACTCAAAACTGACCAGAGGAAGATGATGATGAACAGTAGCCGAAAATCGATTATTTCCTTCCTACGAATCGATTAGAACTGTGTTCAGAAGAGGAATTCGAAGTCAGTATGTAAAAAAAAAAATATATTATTTTAATCATAAAAATCGATTTAAAGTTATTAATCGATTATTTTAATTATAAAAATCGATTTTTAAGTATTAATTGATTATTTTAAATATAAAAATCGATTTTTAGTAATTAATTGATTATTTAAAGTATGAAAATCGATTTCTTAGTGATTAATTGATTATTTAAAATATAAAAATCGATTTTTAGCAATTAATTGATTATTTAAAATATAAAAATTGATTTTTAGCTATTAATGGATTATTTTAAATATAAAAATCGATTTTTAGGTATTAATTGATTATTTTAAAAACAAAAATTATTTTTTCCCATGTCCAGATCCTGTTCCAAAAATATTCTGAAAATATATGCTCTAAAATCCACCAATTGATTATGATCATTGAAAATATGATTTACCATAATAAAAATGATGTTTCTAACAAATAAAAATGTTATGTGATGTATGACAGTAAGTTAGGGTGTTAACACCCGAAGCTAGGCCGCTAATTGTTATTGAATATTATGTTGATTGATGAATACGGTAATGATTATTGATTGATGATTATGATGATTAAATCTTGATGAATATTCTCATTAAAAATGATAATTATGAATGATTAAATCATAATGATACATTGATGATTGTGGAAATAAGATACTGCCAAACCAAATTCTCATCTCCTTGCGTTTTTCGCTAATTTTGGACTTCGATTCTTGAGTTTTGTTGATCGATCATTGTTCCGCTGCATTCTCCTTGCAATTTCGTACAGATTGGTGCTGGATTTGTGCGATTTGGTGAATTTTTGCGATTTCTGGATCTGCGAGCTGTCTTATTAGACAAATTCCATTTGGAGTGCGATTCATGATCATTCATGGCAGAGGATGATCCTCCTGAGTCTCGCGAAGCTCCACAAAAGGTTATTCCACCCTCAAATGCTCCTATCTCACCCCTTCTGACTCTTCACAAAATTTGGGACCGCTGAACAAAGTTTCAATGGCGTCTCAATCGAAGCTTCCATCGTCTCAATCGAAGCTTCCATCTGTTACTATGGAGGTTCCTGGAACTTCTAAGGATAATTCTACACAGAATCCAGGTATTTTACTTAAGGATAATCATTTTCCTCCATTACCGTCTTCCTCGAAGCCTGGTGGGGGTGTTACGTCTCCTATGCTCAAAGAGATCATTGAAATTGAGGATGTTACACATGAAGATTATCCTGAACTCATTCAATCTGTGGACAATAGTATTTTGGATATTGCTACTAGTGCTAAGCTTAACTCTGCTTATCGTGTGTATTTGGATACTTTGTTGAATGCTGGTTTATCTGAAGAGGCAATCAATTTTACTATTAATTTCAAGCCTAAGGGCCCTTCTGGTTACATCACTGATTTGCCTAAATCTAATGCTAATGTTGGTCCAAGTGTGAAAACTGGGGAGAATTCAGCATCTGTTCCTTTGAAGACTGTTGTGCAACAGGTTGAGAATACTGTTTCTGTTAAAAATGCTCTCCCCCTGCTGAAAAAATTTGCTCAGATCCCCTATGCTAAGCCTTCACTACCAGGACCTAAGAAACAACAATCAAATGTGCCCTCCAAAACCCCAGGCCATGTGACTAATCCGGGAACTGGCCCTCCCAACAAGCTTAGCTATGCTCAAATGGTAGGCCCTCAGATTGCTCAAGCTCAATCCACAAACTCCACCTTGAATCATAATTTGCTGCCTGATAGAGAGGTTGTTGTTCACAGAGATATTCCAACAATCAGATTTGCTGCTACTGAAATAGAGTCCTTGGCCAAGATTGATATATTCATTTTGGTTGGGAAATTCTCCCATGGTCAGCCCAAATGGGAATTGATTAAGAAACATTTTGCTACACAATACATCTTAAGGGGACAGGTCACTATTGGCTGGAGAGATTCTAGACATGTGTTTCTTACCTATTCTAATTTGCAGGATTGTACTAAAATTCTTCTTAAGGGTCAGATTTTGTTTAATGGAATAAACCCTATGAGGTTGTTTAGATGGACTCCAGATTTCAATACTGAGATTGAAACTTCTTTGGCTCCTGTGTGGGTGTTATTCTTAGGACTGCCTATTCATTTCTTTGATGCTTCTGTTTTGGCTCTGATTTGTAAACCAATTGGAAAAGTGTTGGGAGTTGATCTTGCTATTCTCCATAAGTCTAAACCACATGTGGCAAGAGTTAGGGTGGAAATGAACCTATTGAAACCTTTGATTCACAATATTTTTATTGGCACATCTACTGAACCAGGCAAGGAAGATGAAGGCATTTACCAATCTTTTGAATATGAGCGCATCCCCTTTTACTGTACTAAATGTTTTAAACAAGGACATGCTACTGAAAAATGTAAACTGGATGTTGAAGCAGGTCAAATTGCTGAGAGGCTTAGATAAGGAAAATTTCTAGCCTTGACTCCTCATGAAAATGAAGGGTCAGGATTTATGAGACAAGGGCGTAGGAGAAGCAGGAGCAGAGGAAAAATGGCCTACCCAATCCCCCCTGGAAGTGTGCCAAATCAGTCTCAAACCCCTCAGCAAGCTCCTTCAGGAAGTGTATCAAAACAGTCTCCAACTCCCCAACAAATTCCTTCAAAGGGTGTGCCCAAACCTCCCCAACAGGCCACACAAAGGAGTGAACTCCCTCTTAACTCTAAGCCCTTGAAAGGGAACTCTGCAGAACTTCCTCCTTTGCCAAAGACAGCCAATGGTTCTCAATCTCACTCTGGGCAGATTGAACACCCTAAAAATCAGAAAGCATCATCATCAGGATTCAAAAATACTCCCCATTATAATAAGGATCCCAAATCTCCTAAACAACCCAAATACTCTCAAAATACAGACAGGTCTACTATTAATATGGTTCCTCAGTCCTCCAATGCTTTTGCTATCTTAAGTGATATCTCAGAAAATCCTTTGATGGAATCCCTTCCTAGGTCTGGGAAAGAGATCCAGGACCTTGCTGCACGTGCTATTTCCAATTTTCCCTTGCTTCCTGTTCCAAAACCCCCTGATGACAGCATATCACAAATGCATTGTGCTGAGAACACTTCTGCTAATCCTTCAAACAGAAGTGTCTTCTTTGAAGAAATAGATCATGGTCCTGGAGAGATGGAATCTGATGTTTTCTTTTCAGATGAAGGATATATGAGCCCACCCATTATTGAGGAAAAAGATTCCACCAATAATGATCTCAGTGAGAAAGCCAAAAAATATCTAATGGATCCTCCAGCAGCACACACAAGAAAGAATAATTCTCATGCTAAAACCAGCCAAACACCAAACCCCAAAAAAGCTGGTAGGACCAGATCCTCCTCCTCCTCCCAAAAATTTTTTTTTCTATGTATTCTACCATTGTGTGGAATGTCAGGGGGATTTCAACCAGGGGTTCTCTTGAAAGACTAACTAACCTGGTCCATAAGCATCATCCTTCTCTTGTGGGGATTCTTGAGCCCTTTAGCAAAAATGATAAATGCCAACCTATTGGGCGCCAATTGGGGTTGCAACACACCATGACTAACTGTAATAATAAAATTTGGCTTTTATGGGATAATTCTATACAGGTGACTATCTTGGATGATACTGAACAGATGGTTAATTTGGAGCTTTTCCACCTTGGGTCCAACTCCCTAAGCTATGTTTCTGTGGTTTATGCCAAAACCAAAAGCTGGCTTAGGAGAACTCTATGGAGAGACTTGCGTGACTTCTATACTGTTCACCCTGATACTCCTTGGGCTGTTTTGGGAGATTTTAATTGCAGCCTACATCCTGGAGAGAAACAAGGGGGTCTGCTTATGACTTTCTCTTCCAGTTGGGATTTCCAGCAATGTATTGATGATTGTGATCTGGTGGAGGCTCCTTCCTGTGGCTCCTATTTTACTTGGTGGAATGGCAGGAAACAAGACAAGGCTATCTGGAAAAGGTTGGACAGAATGCTGGTGAATCAAGCCTGGTCAGCTTCCTACACCACTATGGTTCATAACCTGATTCCTACTACTTCAGATCATAGCCCTATGCATGTCACTTCTGTTTTCCATCAGGAATATCAAGGGAGAAAGCCTTTTAGTTTTATGAATGCATGGATAACCCATCCTGATTTCTTGACAGTTGTTTCAGATGCTTGGAGTACTCCTATCTCTAGTTCTGCTATGTATGTTCTGACTGAAAAACTGAAGATTACTAAGAAGGCCTTGCAAAAGTGGAACTTCAAATTTTTTGGGAATATATTCCAGAAACTTAACCAATTTGAGGCACAGATTCAAGAAGCTGAACAACATCTTCAAGAGGAACCTTCTGAGTCTAATTTCCTTAAACTTAAACATGTGGAAGCCAGTTACCTAAAACAGCTACACATTGAAGATTTATATTGGAAACAAAAGGCTCACTCAAAGTGGATCAAGGATGGTGACAGGAACTCCAAATATTTCCACTCTATTGTGAAGGGCAGGAGAAGAAGGCTCACTATTCACAAAATTAAGAGCAACACTGGCCAGTGGTTAACCTCTCATGCTGACATTTCCCATGAAGCTGTTACCTTCTTTCATAATCTTTTTTCTGCAGAGTCTACTGCTACTACTGATTTTGGGGTGTTAGACTGTGTCCCTAATCTTGTCACTGAGGAAGATAATCATATGCTGGTGGCACAGCCTGATTTGGAGGAGATCAAGAATGCTGTATTTGCCTTGGATCCCAACAGTGCTGCTGGACCTGATGGTTTTACTGGGCAATTTTACCAATCTTGTTGGTCCATTATCAATAAGGAAGTCTTTCAGATGGTTCAAGGATTCTTTTGGGGGGACTATTTCTCTAAGGGCATTAGTCATACCTTTATAATTCTTCTCCCCAAGGTGGACTGCCCCAACACTTTTGCTGACTTTAGGCCTATAAGCCTATGTAATTTCAGTAGCAAAATTGTCTCTAAGATTTTGGCTACTAGGCTTGCTAAAGTGTTACCAAAGATTATATCTCCTAACCAATCTGGATTCATTAAAGGCAGATCCATTACTGAGAATGTGTTGTTGGCACAGGAGCTATGTCATGGGATGAAAGCTATTAATAGAGATATTATCTTCAAACTGGATATGGCCAAAGCGTATGACAGGGTCTCCTGGTACTACATGAATAAAATCCAGAGGCAGTTGGGGTTCAGTGACAAGTGGATTGATATTATTTTTAGACTCTTGTCAAATAACTGGTACTCAGTTATTATCAATGGAGCTAGAGAAGGTTTTTTCACATCCAGCAGGGGCTTGAGGCAGGGGGATCCTCTGTCCCCTGGTTTGTTTATCATTGGAGCTGAGCTCATTTCTCAAATGCTAAACCAGAGAATCCAGCAACAGGCTTCTTGTCTCTTCTCTCAACCTAATGGAATCTCTCCTTTGAATCATTTAGCCTTTGCTGATGATATGATCATCTTCACTTCTGGTAAAGGTAAAAATATACAACTCATTATGCAGGACCTTCACACTTATGAGCAGGTTTCTGGGAAACTGATAAGTGTACATAAGAGCTCATTCTACATGCACCCCCACACTTCTATGGCTTTTATAAAGAGAGTTCATGATATTACTCAATTTGTTCACAAATCCTTTCCTTTTGAGTATCTGGGTTGCCCTATATATAGAGGAAGGATGAGAAATAGCTACTTTACCTCCTTGCTCCATAAAGTCAGCCAAAGGTGTCAAAGCTGGCAAGGGAAACTTTTGTCTTATGGAGGGAAACAAGTTTTAATTAAGTGTTTTACAAGCTATACCAGCTCATCTTTTCTCTGCTGTTTCTCCCCCGAAGGGAGTTCTTCACAAGTTGGAACAACATCTTGCCAATTTCTATTGGGGGAGTCAGGATAACAAGCAGAAATATCACTGGAGCTCCTGGACACATATTAGTCATCCTACCTGTGAAGGGGGTCTGGGCTTCTCTTCTATGAAAGCCTTGGTTGATGCTAACAGTGCTAAACTGTGGTGGAACTTTAGAACTATACCCTCCCTTTGGGGGCAGTTTCTAAAAGCCAAATATTGTCCTCGGGTACATCCTGTTGTTAAAAAATGGCAATATGGAGATTCGCATGTGTGGAAGAGAATGACCTCTATTAGGCCACATATTGAACCCTTTATTGGTTGGAGAATCTGTGATGGCTCAGTCAGTTTTTGGTGGGACAATTGGAGTGGCATTGGGGCACTTGGTGCTGTTTCTAATCAACTCAATGGGAAATATCTTTTAGAACCTTTAAAAACCTATACTTTGAACAAGCAGTTTGACTTTTCTAAATTGGTTGACATTCTTGATCCTGGCTTTTTCTTCCATTTCAATGTGAATCTGGATCTGATTGGTTCCAATGTGCCTGACCAGCCCATTTGGAAACCAAAGAGTAATGGTCAATTTTCTATGCAAGCAGTTAAGCATTTTCATAGGCCCAACAACTCAGTGGATAATGTTATTATTAATTGTTGGCATCCATGTGTTCCTTTTAAAATCTCTTTCTTGTACTGGAGGGTCCTCTTTCAAAAGCTTCCCATGGATGATTTTCTCATGCATATTGGAATTCCCACTGTCTCTAAATGCTATTGTTGCACTCATCCTCATGCGGAAAGTTTGGAGCATGTGTTTTGTAATGGGGAACTTGCTCACCAGGTTTGGAAGCACTATGAGTATGTGTTTGGTATCCATGGAAATTCTCACACCATCAGACAGCATCTACATTTATGGTGGAAGAACAAACTTCATTCCCAGAAACCTGCTGTTAGAGAATTCCTTCAACAGTGTGTCCCTATTTTCATTCTTTGGGTCTGGAGAGCCTATTCTTCTATCAAATATGGGGGCTGTGATTACTCAGTGGCTAGAGTCATCCATCTTGTGGGGAAAGAGGCTGCTAAAGCTTCATCCAGAAAGTGGCCTTCCTTAAATGAAGTTCTTCCCCACTGGAAATCAGTGTTCAAACTTGCAGGCACTTTACCCAAATCCTTTATGATCAAAAAGGTTTGTTGGCAATATCCTGAGGGAGAATCTGTTAAACTTAATCTTGCTGGAGGACAATTTCCTCATCAAACTGCTGCAGCTGCTGTCCTAAGGAATAGCAAAGGGGAATTCCTTTTTGGTTATGCTTCTTCCAGCCCTAAACCAAAGTACATGGTCTATTTGGAAGTTGCAGTCCAAGTTCTAAGTTGGGGACTGGCGCATGGCTTCAGAAGCATTATCATTGAGACTGATGAAGGGGAGGTTCCCTTCCTTCAACTTGGGATTAACCCGGAGCAAGATGACTATTTAAGAAAGTTTCATTTTCTTCTCTCTTGTGTGAGAAGCAAGTAAACAGACTACCTCATTTCTTGTTGACATGGAGCTGTAACCAGTCACACTCCTTCCAGTTTTTCTCTGTCTTTGACCTGCCCCTTGAAGCACAAAAGTTACATCAATTTGATCTTAGACAATTTCCCAGTTATGCCTCGACCAGTGCTAAACCTGGTAAGGATGATCCCCTCCATTAGCCCCTTCTGTTGTTTGGTCTGGCCTACTTGGTGGGCTATTCTTTACTCCATTGTTTCCATAACGCTTGTTGTTGACTACATTTGGGATTATCAGGAGGACATTTTTATTCCTTGTTATGTTCTCTCTCTTTTATGGTGGTATGCTCTTGTGAATTATGGTTATGTTGGTGGTTCTATTTGGTGGCTTTGTATGGAGCGTTATTCTGTGAAGAATCTTTACAGCTATCTAAAAACCATTACGTTTGCCATGACTATGAAGAATTTTATTTATTTTCTTCTAGTCTTGGTGGGTATGGTTTTGTGTAGTTGGGTAGGACCAGCCGTTGGCTTGGCTGTTTTGCTCTGGTGTGAGTGTGGTCCTACCCTTTTGAAGTACCTGATTGTGAGGCTGTGCTCTTTGGCCATTGTGCCTCGTTTGGACTTGTTGTGTTGTTTTGTTGTTAGGACCGTATGTGGCATTGGTCATGCCGTAGTATAGTGGTTTTGTTGCTAGTTAGGACCTTCTTGTGGCCTTGGTCAAGCCTTTTTCTAGGTTCCCTTACCCCTTACTTTTGAGGATTGTTCCCCCCGGAAGGCTTGTCTTCCGTATGAGGGGCTGGCTTTAGGCCTCGGTTTGGTCCTCCCCTCCTTTTGTATCCTCATGCTTTCTTAATAATAGCTGGTAAGGGTTGCCTAGACCTTACCCCACCGTGTTTGGTGGTTTGCCCGCTAGGATAAAAAAATGTTAATTTGAAAGGTATCTAGAAGACCTCTAAGATATACCTATTTAAGTTAGGCCTTGCGGGTATGAACCCCGGTGGCTAGGGTTAAAACGTACATACGGGATCCAAGAACCAAACTTGAGTACCTACTCGTTTGGGGGTACCACCCACCCAACAGTGAATACTACGCTGTCGGTTTTGGTTGGCCTTAAGTGAAGGTAAATTTAAGATTTTCAAAACCTTTTTATCTTAAACTAGGCCTAGCTTAAGGATTATTTAGGAATATTTTATACTGGAATATAGTTTAATTATTTAAACTAGAATTCGTTTAACGATTGACAAATATTAAAGTGATTGGCCTTAGACTAAGAATAGTTTAAGGATATTATTGAATGTTGAATTTTAAATATGAATAAATATTGAATGATGAATAATGAATTGAATATTGTAATTATTATGAGCGACGGAAAAACGTTGAATGTGGAAATAAAATAATGAATGATGAATATTGACTAATAATCATTGAGTATCTGAACTAAACATTATGTGCATGATATCAATTGATTTGATTATGAATTTATATTCAGTTTATATGGATGTTCGACGCATTAGATATGCTTACTCAGCTTAAACGCTGAGCGTGTAGTATGTTTTATTTGCTACACGCAGGTAAACAAAAAGAATGAAGCAATGATTTTGTAACACCCCGAAATCTGGTCCAAAAGAATTAATTAAATTGTTAGAGCAATTGATTACGAATTGGGCCTAAAAAGGGGTTAAAATTATAATTTGGATTCTAAGCCCAACTTTTATGTCATCTCGTAGGAAATATTTTTGTGATCGCGTCGGTTCATACGTCTCGCGAATCGGAGTTATGGAGCTCATGTTATGACCATTTAATCAGGTATTTTGGGTCCGAAGCCCAATCCTTTTAGGAATGGGACCATTAAATAAACCTAAACCTAAATTTCAGCCACACGATCCTTATCTTCCTTCTTCTTTCGTCCTTCTTCTTTCGTTCTTCTTCTTCTTCTTCTTCTTCTTCTTCTTCTTTCTTCTTCTTTCTTTCTTCTCCTTCTTCACCTTCGGTCGCCGTCGACTTGCAGCCGCCGGACGCCGTTCTTCGCCGGTCATCCCTGCCGTCCGACCTCCGCCTCCAACGCCGCTGCCTTTCCCCAACCAGTCGCCGTCGCTGCTTCCTTCGCCAGAGGTCCGCCGTCAGCATCAGCGCCGCCGACGACGGTTCACCTCGTCGTTCTGCCGAACGTCGCCTCCACTGCCGGCGTCCTTCCTCGCCGACGAATTGCAGCGCCGCCAGTCGCTGCTCATCGCCGTCGAGCTGCCGCTCCGCCACTGTCGCCGGCGTCCGTCACCGTCGCCGCATCCAGCCGCTGCCCCGAGTTGATATCGCCGGCAGATTAACCTCCACGCCGGATTGATTGGTCGATTTCGCATTTTGACTCAATTTGACCCGTTCGTTTGATTTCGTTGATTTGTCTTCCGTTCGAGCTATCGATTCGATTTCGGCGTAATCCAGGTCCGTACTATGAAGTTAATAGC